AGAGACATGATCAAAAGTTGTATCCATTTAGTAGTTTTCATGCGAAAGGCCGCATTTGTTCATATTACAGACATTTAACACGGCCGTGTCGAATCTGACACGGTCCGTGTCAATTGTCTGTGCAAAATTCCCCGGCAGTGTTGCACCTAACACGGTCCGTGTTGCACCTTAACACGGTCCGTGTCAAATGTCTGAGAAAAACAACATTTTCTCATAGAATTAACACGGCCCGTGTTGAACCTAATACGGCCGTGTTTGTAATTAACACGCCCGTGTTACACTGCCCGTGCAGAATTAACACGCCCGTGTTACATGCCCGTGCAGAATTTCTGCACTTAAATTTCACTACTAAACACAAGTATATACTTTACAAAATACATGTAAATACTTTACCAATTCATACTATATCATTTACGAATATATAACTCTTCCACCATATCCGTAATACATATGAATATGAATCACATGAGAGATTTATTAAATCCATCAATTTACTCTAAAATAAACAACATGTTATAATATGGATAGGATCAGTGAGGTTGCCTGATGACTTGATGTTGCAGATTCTTTCTTTGCTTCGGCAAAAGATGTAGCCGGTACTATATATGGTTCTCTCTAGATGATGGCGGTCTCTCTGGACGATGGTGCCGAGACTTGATTATGATTCTATGAGAGAACACAGAGCGTTCACGGAGTTTGTTTACAAGTTCTCCAAAGTCTCCAGTTCTCCAAAGTCTTTGTTTTCGCATAGCTCATAACTCTGTTCATGTACAAGAATATTTGAGAATATGGGTCGAGATTGCGGTCGACCGGCGTATTCGTGAGCTCGAGATTTGTGAGTTTGAGAAATTTGGGGCTATAGAGTATGGTAAAATTGCGACGGTGGACCCATAGAAGTCATTCTCTTGAAAGATATGAGATAAATGATGCGGAGATTCGCTTAAAATTGTGTCAACACCCGATTCAATAGATGACTTTTGAATTATCTTACATTGAACTCACTTTATGAATACTTTGTATTTGTAAACTCTGAATTTTGTTTACGGTTTTAATTTATATAATAAATCATAGTTAAGTCTTCAACACACGAAAAACAATTATCACTTGGAATCGCAATTAAGTTTCAAAGAAGTAACAAATAAATCGTACTATTAAAACAAAAACAAAAACTAAATATTGAAGTCGTAATTGATATTCTTTTATTAAATGAATAAAAATTGGAAATTAATTGTAGCTTCTTGAAATTTAAGCGTTAACTATTTTTCTGAACAAATATATATTGGTAGAAATTAAATGAACATATATATATATATTATATGATAAACGTTAACTATTTTTCTGGGAAAAAAGTATGTTTATGTATCACATCAATCGTAGAAAGCAAGCTGACATGTAGATGAACCTCTGGCCATGGAAGCCAATGCCTTTCGAATCAGTAGTCGCTCCTTCAAATTCAAGTAAATCATATGGTGAACAGATGCCATCTTCAAACATGTTGCGTTCGCCGGGATGTAAGCCGCCACTTCTTTATGCGGCAGCGATCTTGTGTAATACCGAAAAGTTTCAAGGCTCGACAATAGACATCGAGCCACATGATTTGGTTGTTTCCACCAAGCTCTTGGATCGGAGCCTGACCAGTTCTGCGATCAAGACGACAATTCTCCATAAAAATACAGTTGCATTGCATAATCAAACAAGACACTAAGTGAGAGATCAACATATATTTTTGAGTTCCAGAACTCGCAGGTTTGGAGAACCATCTAGTATAAACGTAAGTAGCTTTTGGTTTTTAGTTGATTTGGAGAACCTTCTAGCATAAACGTAAGTAACTTTTGGTTTTTAGTTGATCTTTTCCGTAAAATAGATTTGCGGGTTTTTAGAAAAAGGGATAATCCCATATTCCCCCACAAATTTTCGAAAAAGTTCCAATTTTCTACACCAATTTTTAATTTGACAAAAAACTACACCGGATTTCAAATATTTCCAAATTCCCACACAAAATCTTAAAATGTGTTACAATTTCCCCCATATCCGTAAACGACGTTAAGTTCCGTCAATTTTAATGCTGATGTGGCATGCCACGTCATACAGATTTCGCCAAATCAGCACATTTCGCCACATCATCCAGCCACGTCAGAAAATAAATAAAAATAAAAATAAAAATAAAAAATTTCTAGAATTTTTTTAAAAACTAATAAAATAAAATAAAAATACAGAATTTCAAATTTTTTTTTTAAAAATAAAATAGAAAATTACATATACATATATATACACTTTTATATCTATACACAATTATATACATATACATATATACAAATATACATCTACATACATAATTATATACATATATATATATATATAGACACACTTATACATTTACATATATACACACTTTTACATATATACACAATTTTTTAAAAAAACTTTTAAAAAATTACAGAATTTTAAAATTTATTTTTTAAAAATAAAATAAAAAATTACATATACATATATACACTAATAATATATATATATATATACATACATCTTCACATATATATATACATATTCATATATATACATATATATCCATATATATATATATTGAATATGTATATATATATGTGAATATGTATGTATATATGTATAAATATATATATATA